GAGGCTATGTTGAGAGTAACCGGGTATACTCAATCTGGCCACGGTTCTTCAACGAACCAGTTAATGTTGTATGTGACATGGACACAGAAGGTGGTGGGTGGACGGTAGGAGTGTGTTCCATATTTCTAAACTTTTTGCAATAAGTTGAATAAGCTATTGCTATTTGATTAAAATGCATATATGAGTCAACTATACTAACATAACTTTAAAATGTTTGTGATTAATTATCTAATTTGGAATACAAATATAAGTAACAAGTTAAAATATTGTATACGGATAGAACTTTATTTCACACTAGTAGTATGGAAATAATTAGTTAAGGAAAATCAGTATGATATTAATTTTTAATATACGGAAGTCAAGTAATTTACATTAGTAATTATAAAGCAAAGTTTTAATACATTTTCTTTACCAAAGATAATCCAACGCCGCGGATACTATAACGAGAAACCCCAGGATTTCAATCAATCTTGGTATCAGTACAGCATGGGATTTGGATCACTGAACGAAGATTTTTGGCTTGGTTAGTATGCTTCTTCTTAGAACAAAGAAAATGTAAATGTAGGGTTAGCATTTGTTTCAACAGGCATTTTTCCAACAATTGAGTGGCGTTTTTTACCAAACAATATTCCTTTATTTCCTTTTCTTACGTAACCTATTCTGTAGTACGTAATAATGAGAAATATCTTGGATTGTTAAAGTTAATGTAATTAATATATCGATGATATAATTGTATCTTTATTATCTTGGAACATATTTTAATGTGTGCTTTACACTGATTTGTACAATAGTTTACATTCATTGTTACTTTTATTAATATCGCACTTAAAAAAAAACTAAATGTTTCAAGTTAAGCTAGTATGTACAATGTAGGCTAAATTATTACCAATTACAAACTTCTTCTGTAAACCGTGAGAACATTCTTAATTTTTTATTGTTGTTCATTGCAGATTTAAGGCACAAAGCACCAGGGTTAGCTTCTTTTTTAAGCACTAAGTTGTATTCTTGTTTTTTATTTTACAACTTATGGTGTATAAGAGTTTTAATTGTTTGAAAATTAATTCACGTAGATTTTCAGTTAAAGGATAGTAAGTATATACAATTTTGATCACTGTCAGTTTATAATTGTTTGTTGTTAAGCAAAAAGGTACAGATTCTTCTATACCCAACGTGGGCATTGAAATTCTATTTATAGCTATTTAAGCCCTCAGACGTACCAGGTTAAAATAGAACGAATAAACACTATAATATAAAAACATTGTTTCTAACACTGTCTGTTATAGAACAAAACAGAATATTGTTAAAGTTCTTTCTCGTGTTCTATTTTATACTTAGTTTGTTAATTATAAGTCCACATAATACACACACAACGTCGACCTTCCTAATTCATCTATATTACACGCCTATGGTCCCTAATGCTACATTCCAAAATTGATTGCAATCGGTCCAACGGTTCACACAAGTATTTTTGGGCACACTAGTATTTTTGTTAAATAATAATTTACATAATAAGGATAGTAAGTTGAAAAATAATTTTAGTTACTAGAAGTTCATCTCTTTCTAAATTTCAAGTCTAAAGTGTACTAACTATATAAAGAGATCTAAAAAATTGTAACCAAAACAGGAACTTTCCGCTTCTTCTCATTTTCTATTTCCAACATGAGAAGTATTAGTAAACGTACCGAATATTATGTTGTTGTTTTTATCACGTGAAAGATAAGAGCTTGAAAAACAAGATAGAATTATTTTATCACAGTATTTATGAAAAGTAAAACTTTATACACCGGTATTATGTCTTTTGGAAGAGAAGCACACATGCGATATATTTTCTCAAGATAGGTCCTCCGGCTGGGACAGCGGTAAATCTTCTAATTTACAACGCTAAAATCTGGGATTCGATTCCCCTCGCTGGACACAACAGATAGCCGGATGTGGCTTTGCTCTAAGAAAAACACCTTAAGATGGCGTTTTCCTAACTTTAAACAGCGGCGCCCCTATCTCAGCAAAGTTTCTATTACACCCCCTTCACTTTAGATTAAAATAATTTTCGGAAGTGATAATAGCAAAATCAGTATCTTCTTTACCTGTTTTTACTATATTTTTTAAACTACAGAAAAGCTTTGTTGGTTATTCGTCTCCTCCAAAATTTTGTTTCGTCAGTCATTATTTTTGGGCTCTCCTGCCAAAGCCCCCCTCCAAACCACGACTGCGCGCATCCTAGGGGCATATCCCACAGTCTAGAATCCTGTTATGATACAACTGTTATAAGAATAAAATATCATAACTTGGGAAACATGTTGTGTTTCAATACGAATTACAATTTACTTTTATTTTGAAGGAAACGACAAAATATTTGCCTTAACAAACCACAAGGAAATGGAGCTTAGAGTTGATTTAGAAGATTTTTCAGGGAAAACGGTCCATGCTAAGTTCTCATATTTTCTTGTGTTGCGCTCTTATAGTGGTGATGCCGGTAAGGATATTTGCTTTAAGTTATATTGTTACATTGAAACTAACACGAGTAAAACAATGTTTATGATTTTATTGGCATAATTATTGTTGTGATTTTTATCCCACTCTTGAAATTTATAGTTATTCAAGTATCATTAATGGGCACATCAACTACAGCAATTATAATAAACAAATTTTAATTTAATTTTTATGATTTTTTCCTATATTAAAAATAATTTCCTACAAATCACTTTATATATTATAATAGCTAAAATGCTTGTGAAAGAAAATATTTTATAATCATAATCTTCAAACTTTTTACACAACAACCTGTTGGTTTCAAAGTATTTGGTATATTTAGATAATCTTACTGATGATATTTTATGAAAAGCTGTTACTACTTGTGGAATATTACAAAATAAAAGTTAAGAAAAGAGTAGATGAAAAACAAACTTCTTCAAAATAAATGTCTTGTTTCAATCAAATAATTATTGAATAACTATTTGGTATTAATTTTATAGTGTAAAAAAAACACAAGAATTATTATAATCTTCCTGCTGTTGTATATTAAAAGCAAACATATGTAAATGCTGTAAATTGAACAATTTTTAGTGTATTTTTATAGATCTTGTAATATAAGCTAGGTAGATCGTAGCTTCTTTAGTGCACCACACGATACTTCTTTACAATCAGGTGGTGTCGTTACTTTCGTGATTCCATTAAACCTACAGTATGTTAGATAGTTTTTAATTTTTCATTAACGGTTATATTCTATATGCGCTTTAATGGAATCATATATTGTCATATTATAAACAAAACGAATTTCAAATATGCTTTATCTAGAAAAACGTCCTAAAGTTAAACACTTATTAGGAAGAAAATCTTAAAATTCACATCTAACTCCACCCAGTTATAAAGGATGTGCATTTTTCTTAGTTAGTTTCGGAATATTTAAATTTTTTCATTCGATAAATTACGTTTTTTAACCATATAGCCTTTAGTTTCACATTATTTCTATCTTTAGAGGGACGTAAAACTACCGGGATTAGGTTTTAAAGTCAGATATGTCTATTATGCATGTTTCATTTTCGTAACTTTATAAATGTTTGATTCGTCTCAGGAAGAAGAGATTTAGATTTCATGTACTTTAGATTAAAATACTTTTCTAATGACTTGAAAATTTATTAACCTCCTATCGTATCTAACGTTTGTAAAAGCCATTTAAGTTACTATTCGCACAACCTTTAAACCACCATCCACCACTACCACCATATTCATTAGAACAACTTTTTGCATGTTCATCGTTGTCTTGGTCTTCTGTCGAGAAAAGTGAACCGTTGTGGTACAATGCTGAATCACCTGTCGTGGTGAATACAAAAGATAGGTTAAAATTTATTGATTAGAACTTGCTATGATTTTACAATCAACAATATTCTATAGGCCAAATAGATCAAAATTAAATCAAATCCTAACAATATAAGAAAAACTGTATCCATTATACAAGCAACAAAACAAACCATCTTCTGGTTCACATCTTTCTTATCTTGTTGAAATTACCTTAAGATTTCCAGAAAGCGCAAATGAACGTTTCTGAAGAGTATTCCGTATACTAATATTATCATCGTAAAAGTTGTCAATATTTTTAGAGCTATTGTAAAGTTTTAGTTGTAGTTAGAATATTTGACGAGAACTTTTGTTGCTGAAAGTAAGAAAAAAGATCAACAACTCAACAGGAATGAGATTTTATATTTAGACGATTTTGATAAATGTACTTTATTTTATATATTATTAATTCTTAATTACTAAAACATTCCTTGGTTCTTAAAATGGAATTACAGAAAAATAGTCCTACGTCTATAAATAACGTAGACATTCTCAAACTTGAGACAAAACTTGAAGTCAAGACTTTTGGAAACAAAAACGTTTATTTGACTTACGTTTCTGGTTGTTCCTAATGTGTTTTTAGTTGCATGTAAAACTCACACTCGGTAGGAAGAAAATAAGTGTTTAGAACACAAACCTTTGTAGTATACTTGAATGAGAAAGGGAGTTAAAAATGTATAATATCTAAATAATTAAAATGACAGCAGGATAATATTATTCACGACTTTATTTATGTCAAGAGTAAGAATATAATTTAATTGTAATTGTTATCCAAAGTGAAGTAAAGTAAATGTTAAAGAAAGATGTAATTACTTTTATTAAGAACATAAAACTATAACTTTACATATACAAAGTGAAAGTAAGATTATAAAGTATATTATACCAACAGATGACGCTACAAGCACAGTGGAAATAGTCCTAAGGGCAAAAATATTCTAATCGAAAATGAGGCTTAATGAATAAATTTTTAGGTTGAAACGCTTAATTCGCAGAAAGGACAAAAGTAATGAAGCAGTAAAATTATTACAATCAAATTACAAAAATATAATCGAATATCATGATAACTACCAAATAATAAATTCGAAAAGTATTATTAATGTCATACGCATTGTATGAAACAGATGTGAGAAGCTATGCCAAATAATTATTTAACAGTTTTATTGTTATGAAATTTTATATTTCAACAATAATATAATTAAAATTAAATATCGTAAAACATTAAAATTTAAAGTATCTTAGTATGTGTTATAGCACAACTTAAGTCCAACAAATCTATAAACCAGTCTGTCATAAAGAATATGGATCACTATATTTTCTATAATCTTATGTTTTCAACAAAGAAAACCAAAATGAAATCAGTTATCGATCTGTCTAAGATTTATGTCATTCAATTGGTATTATATAATACAGTTTCACCTTGTGTAGTAAAAACAACTCTCTGTCGATGAAATGTCAAACACTATGATGAAAGTTGGAAACCTCTTGACAATCAACGAGTTACAGAAAAATATTTACAGAATAATTAAGCAACATTTGTCTTTATGTTTCTATGTGTGTATGTCAATTTGTTACAAACAATGTCCTACTTGCTGACATCTGATGAGGTATTTATTGGCTTTTAAAGAACAAATTAATGAATTCTTGAAGGACGTTAAGAGTTTCATTATGGTTTATATAATTTGTTTATTTTCTAGAGTTCTATGTTTGTAATTAAGCACAAAGCTACACAAATAAAACTGCAATATAATTAAATAAAAAACAATATAAAACTGTTCAACCAAGAAGTAAACAAATTCAAATGTTATTTAAGCAAGAATGAATTTGCAACGAAAGTGATATCGAACATAATCCAAAGATAACATCAATAAAGCTTCCACCCTCAAAAATAAACTTAAAACTTTACTGTGAAACGTTTGTCAGCAAGTAGAACTTTGAGTCATTGTTGGATATGCAAGATTGTTTAGTTTAAGAGTTATTACTCAGTTAGTTTAGTGACATAATATTTAATTATTATTTAGTTGTCATAACAAGAGTGTTAAAAGTAATTATATTAAAAGCGAGAGTTATGACAAATTGCGTTATGTAACTCGGAAAGAGTCGTATGTTGTGTGTGTGGAGTTCAATTGTTGTAATTGACATCACATTACTCGAACCTTCTGTAGTTTCTCGTTGCCTTAAGTGAGTATCGTTGCATAATAGCGTCTCGTAATTTGTAGAGAGTTCTAGGCCTCAATCTATAATATATATATATATATAGGAGACCAAGTGAGTGCATGTTAAGTCAGAAAAAATTAAGTTAATGAAAGTGCAGAATAAGATATGCGGAAGTATTGAACATTCTTAAATATGTAAGCTTGTAGTGACATCCCTGTAACTATCGAACAGTTGAAAATTATTGAAAATGACTTAGCCATTAAGAACTAAAACTTGGAATGAAATAAACAGTATATGTATGATAAAGAATTATAATATTCAAAATATGATAAATTGCTTAGATTCTATTAACTTCAAAAACAAACTACAAGATTCTCAATGAGCAATAGCAAAGTTAGTTGGTCTAATTTTTATCTCTGTTCTTTTTAGGGAAGCATCGGCTTCAACAAAAGTGTGCCAACGAATTCCATTCCTCTTTTTTGAAGCTTTACTGCTCTTATACTTCTTCTACAGTTATATATTTAATATATTTAACTTTGTCATACATACAATTACATTACTTATGAAAATAGAGTAATCTTAAGAATGAAATAGAAAAGAGCTAATGGACGTTTAATGAAAATTGTTAGCACCTGCAGAAATATAAAATATCTTGATGTTGTCAAAGTTATATTTTTAAAGAGAGTAAATTTTTTGAACGTTTTTTTTTAATCCGAAATGAAGACAACACAGTATACTTTCTTTGATTATATTGTAATGAAGACAACACAGTATACTTTCTTTGATTATATTGAAATGTACACAAGTAATACTTTTCTTATTTAATATTTGAGTTTTATTATTGTGTTATAAGATATCAATTAAACTACAGACCTAAGCAGACCTAATAATGATGATGACAAAATCTTGTCGAAACGTTGTACATTTGCTATTATGTTAAACTTATATTAAAGTTTTTCCTTCATCACCCATTCAAGCCGTCTCCAGGCATTATTGGACCTAATAATGATACAGTATACTTTCTTTGATTATATTGAATTGAAGACAACACAGAATACGTTTTTTGATTATATTGTAATTAAGGACAACACAGTATACGTTCTTTGATTATATTGAATTGAAGACAACACAGTATACTTTCTTTGATTATATTGTAATTGTCTTTAATTACAATATAATCAAAGAACACATACTGTGTTGTGTTCAATTCTATACAATCAAAGAAAGTATACTGTGTTGTCTTCATTTCAATATAATCAAAGAAAGTATACTGTGTTGTCTTCAATTTAATATAATCAAAAGAACGTATACTTTGTTGTCTTCATTTCAATATAATCAAAGAACGTATACTTTGTTGTTTTCATTTCAATATAATCAAAGAACGTATACTATGTTGTTTTTAATTACAATATAATCAAAGAACGTATACTATGTTGTTTTTAATTACAATATAATCA